AAGCCGTGGTCCCTACGCTGAGAATTAGGAGACCACTTTCACTGATTAAATATTTGTGTGCTTTTAAGAATGTACATATTGAAGTTAACCCATTGGTTTAGCGCTCAACCCTGTTGTCATGGAAATTCAGAAGAAATCTTGAAAGAATGAATAAAAAATGTTTCTGTGCTGCATCTCCCCCATCCTCTCTTTCCACTGGTGTCAGGCCATATGAGAGTCATTGCTCTGTCTCGCTGTGTCCCACGTGATCATTTCATTACAATGCAAATAAGACACAGACCAATGGTCTGTGCTACTCGAGCTTCCTAAAGGAGTAAGAAGAGATGAAGTTCAGTTTGAGCTCTTTTGTCCATTTGCTGCAGTTATTGCTGTGTTTCAGTTTGTTCAGCTTGATCGGTGGTGGTCTGAACATGTGCAGGATTTTCTGCAGCTGTCTCCAAGGGGAAATGTGATGAAGGCATGCTTTTAGATTCTCTGATTTGAGAGCTTAAACTGAAGGCATCACTGCCGTGCACTGTGCTTCTCAAAATTAAAAAAAAACAATGAAACAAGTGTGTATCAAAAATCATCATTTAATTTAATCTTTCTCCAGATTGTGGTGCAGCATGTCTTTGCAATTTGTCCTCAGAAGTCCCCTCACTCTTACATTTCATGTTCCTCTTCCATTCAACCACAGAGTTTAGCCATACCGTACATTTAACTTGCGGAAGCATGAATAAAAGACGCTGTTAATAAAACAGGAGGGCTCTCAACTCTTCTTCTTTTTTCATTTCTTATTCACGCGGTGGTTGTCAGTTCATGGCTAATTAGCCATGCGGTTACCAATTACAATCTCACGTCTTTCTGCCTCTTCGCCTGATGCCATGAATTTATTTATAGGCCTGGTGTCTCGTTGGTCCGGACGGGTGGTCCCTGTGGAGGTTGTGAAAAGGGAAAAGAGAGAAAGCAGCCCTGACTCATCAAACTGTGTAGTTTGTAGGAGTACAAATCCAACAGCAGCAGAGTTTCAGGGTGTTCTTCAACCATCAGTGGCTGAAGCCATTCAAGGTGTCTAATTGATCCAGCTCAGCAGACAATGAGCTTGATTAGGTCATTACGAGCCGAGTTAGAACTCAAACCTGCGGGCACCTTTCCTCTCCAGGACTGGAGTTGTGCACTGCCCCACAGATCCATCGAATAGGTCTTCATTCCTGCTCCTCCAACGGAGGATTGCATGGACTTGACTGTACCCCTGTTTCAGTATCCACTAGCCCTGCCCTCTTCGACAAGCCAGCCCCAGTAAACAACATGAAGAGATTGCATGGGTTTTGAGTAGGCTGATAATCATATCATACTGTTTTCCTCTTTCTTCTATATTTTTTTTATGCAGTGCAAATCAGACTTGAATATTCAGTTGCAAAGTGTTTTCTTTGGCCTACATTGTTTTAAGGTACTTTAATCTTTTTATGAACCAGGAAGACGCCTGAGAAACATTCATTTTCGGTGGGTTTTAAAGACAAGACGTTTCCAAACACTTCTCCCAAAACTTTCTGCTCAGATTATCCTGTGAAGATTGCTATATACAGTATATGTTGGCCTCTCTTTCAAATCTTGCCCCCCTCCTTTCTGACTGGTGTCCGCTCTCCTGAAGATTTGTTAGAGTCTGCCAGGCTGCTTATTCATCACAATGCAATTCTTTCCTTCCTCGTTTTCCCATGCATGCAATTTGTAATTCAGGTATCGCGAGGATTAAGCTCTTGTAAAATGGATCAAAATAGAAAGCAACATCACAAATCTCACATTTTACCTTCATCACAGGAGGGAGCAGATTTAAAAGCAAGATTATAGCAATCTGTGGAATTGCACAGCATAAAAACCCTATCCTCTTGACACTTACTGTTCTAAGGGTAATTTGGCTACACCCTCCTAGTGCATTTCACAAAGCATCTAGAACAAAACTGTATAAAAGCATCTAATTACAAACCCTGCTCAACGCAACACAAACATTTAACTATTAGAAATGAATGAACTGCTCACATAATAACAGAGCTGGTTTCCTGTAGCGTAGTGCTGGAATGGTAGAAAGTAGGCAAGGCATGCCTTGCCTGGCACTATGGCAACTAGCATTTAGAACTACAGCTTACACAAAAAAATAGACCTTAGCTGCAGTAAAACTCTCTAGGATGTAAAATGAAAGGATTTCAGTGCACTGCAATATTCTTAAAACATCCTTATTGCAGCAAATCAACTTTGAGTGGAAAGAGTTTTTTTTCCATGAGGTGGGTTTGACTTTCCTGTTGTTGTCAACTCAAATCTAACACTTGGTTCATTATCGATGGTTGAACAGAAGGCTGAGTGTTGGCAGTAGATACAGTAAATTCAGCAGGAACGTGGAGTGAAACTCAGTCGACGACTTAGTTTTTTTTTCATGGTTTTCGTGGTGGTAGTATTGATATTGGGTAAGTAGTGTCACAGTGAGAACCTGAGGATCCTCCTAATTCACATAGTTATTAACCTTTATTCAAACCCACAGATCTACTGAAAATGTCAGAGAAAGGGTTTAATTTGGAAGACCTGCTTAAGACTTTAGATAATGTTTGAAAGCCCTGTTTGATGAGGAGTTTGATTTCATAAGGTTGTTGCAGATTATCCACCCTCATGAATGCCTGCTGGAATCTGAGATGTGGATTTTATTTTTACTCTCATGCTTTATTAGGAACACCACCCCAACTTTCCTTTCTTTAATCTGCTGTAATTATATATCTTCAAAGTCTCTGTTCAAAGAAATGTTGCTTCCAAGTAGAATTTCTTTCGTTGTAGCCTTGTTTTTTCTTAATGTAACTAGCGTTTCCTGATGTCAAATAGTAGTACAGAAATGTTAACTTGTTTAGTACTCCCACCTTGTTTGCTCACTTGCACAAAAAGAAAGTGGGGAGTACCATATACTGTAGATCTACCATGTACTGTACATCTCTTACCAAGTCCAGTTCTTTCAATATGTTGACTTGACATGGAAATACCTTACTCTTGTATAGTGCTTTTTTGTTTTTTATTTTAATAGCAAAATCTCATTGGTTCCCAAAGATCTTGACAAATGGCAATCTGCCACTGAAGTGGCGCCCTCACCTGGGCGATTGTGAGGCAGCCATTCTGCAATACCGGGCAGGCGGAAGAGTGATGAATTGTTGACCAGTTGAACAAAGGAGGCGAGACTGTGCAAGGCCAGAGAGGAAATCAGATAGGACATCAAGGTTAACTGATCCCCACTCCTGTGAACAGTACATAGGACCTCTACTATTCAATTAGTCCGGTGAACTGTCATGCTCGGTACTGACCTGCGTCACAGTGAGAGTACGTTTCTAGTTTAATTACACAACATCATGCTTCCATATGCCTAGAGCGTCTGGGGAAAAAAATATAAGAATATAATGTACCTGCTAAATTTTCAGTCCTAAACTTAGATTCCTGTTTTCTTGCAGATTAACCTGCCCCTTTACTTATAAGGAAAATGTATTTATTTTTGTATCTTTTAAATGAGACACTCAAATAAGAGCTGCGAGACTCTATATGAAGAAGAGGTTAAACACTGGGGGATACGTTCCTTTGTGCTGTTGAAATTAATTAGACTAAGCTTAGCATGGTGCATTTTGAATGTTTGAATGTTCCTCCAAGCTTTTGGCACTGTTTGTATCATGCTCTACATTACCATCTTATTATACTATCACAAAAGTATACTATAACAACTTTTTTAAGGGCAAGGTAACATCTGAAAAAGCCAAATGTCTGCTGTGTTTTTACTGCTCTGTCATTTCTAATGTAGCCAGCTGCGGCTTAGAAAAGCACTGTTCAAAGTCATCTTTAAAAGCAATGAAAGCTTATGTTTTGCACAGTTTGTGCACACTTCTGCTAATGTTAGCTCACATCTTACTGTCATGGCTCAGATGTGATCGTAATTTGATGTTACAGATCAGTGATGGGAAAACTGATGTCCCTTGTTTGTTTAACACATTTTCTAACTGAGTTTTGATTTCTATTTTGCGGTTCTTTTCTGCAGCTGATAAAGATTTTGCTAGAAATTAAATTGCAATAGTAGGTCTGACCAAAGAAATATAATTTTGTCATAGGAGTAGGCAGGAGTTTTGTGAAACAATGTTTTTGTTTTTAAATTAAAAATGTACCTACTGGTTATTAATTAATAAGAACTCTTGCTAGCACAGCAATGCAAAAGGGGGAATTTGAGTGCTGAATTATTAATACTGCTTTTTAAAGCATCTGTACAAAATTGTACAATATGTTTTACTAGATATCAGAAGGCATGTTAATAAGATATAAATAAAAAACTCTTCAAAAACAAAAGCAATAAATGCAACAAACTCTGGAGTGAAAAAGAATTAATGTTTCCTCAAATTCAATATTTCGGTTCGGATGTGTCTGCCTCTGGGTTTGGAGAAGCCCAGTCAGAGATGCATCCTGCTGTGTCATGTGGATCTCTGATGTCAGGTAGGACTCTTACATAACCTGGTCTTCAGCATTCAGGCTTAGAAAAGTGTAAAGCAGATGGTACCAAGGTCATCGTTAGAAATGCTACAAAAGCTGACAATTCCGGTTCATTGCACTACTGGGATATACGTTGCCATATGCAGTTCTTTACACAATGAGTGGCGGGAGCATGGAACGAGCTGTCCAGCTTTGGCAGATGGGCCAAATGGCTTCCTCTTGTCTGAAACCTTTCTTATCTTCTTAAGTTCCACCAATCAAATGGCCTCCTTTCATTGATGACCTTTCTGATGTTCTTTGAAGATCGGTGTGTTATGTTACATGTGGTTTAATAAAAGTGAGAATGACGTAATGTTTCATAAGAAGCACTTGATGTGGTAACTGTTCTGGACACTGGGTCTGAGATACTTTCTGCTCATTCTAATTCATAGCAGGGATGCCCAGCGCCCCTACACCCCCATCAGATACCCCCATCTTTCAGCAAAGGCTTTAGCACATGTGGGAAATGGAACCCGAACAAGCACTCTGATCTTAAGGTTTCTTTATTGTTGTTAACAGTGACATCCTTAATAAACAGTATTTGCCGAAAGAAACCAAAAACAAAAGAAAAACAAACAGTGATTCAGTGGTCAGCCAGAGAGAAGAATGAAGGACGGGAAAGAGGAGTGGATTCTGAGGAAGACGTAGGAAATAGAGTTCAAACCAAGCAATCAAAATCTTATATTCGTATCGTTATTAGAATTAGCATTAATGTCATTATCAGCGTAATGTTTAAAGAAACGAGACGCAATTTTATTGTAGTGTCTCAGACGAGTACAGCCTCTCTGCAATCAGGAAGTTTGGAAGGGGGGAGGTTGTTTGTGCTTTAAGTATACACTTGCTCAAAAAACAGATGAAAGGAGAGCCCAGCACATGCACCTGGTATTAAAACTAGGTAGGAGGTGGTCTGGGGTCAAGGGTCAGGGATAAGGTTTTGATTACAGCAGGGGCTCCCTGCACAGAACTATCTCCAGCTCCTTGCGATACAGCTTGCCGCCATCTGACAGAGACATGATGCTCTTTCTGTAGGTGGTCAGGTTTTGGATATCCATCTCCTTCTGCCCCACAGAGAGAAAGAAAGGGACGAGTTCAGCACAGATTTATGTGATATAGGGCATAATCTAGCTTCATACAGACCCTCTGCTCTCTGACCAGATCTCTGGCACTTCTGTAAGATGTCATTCCATCTCATCCATACACACAACAACAAGTCTGTAGGCTCAAACCAACAGAAACAAACTTTAAAACGGAGGCTTTTAGAAAATATTTTCCCATCAAAGGCCCATCGGCAAATACATAGTCATGCCTTAATTCATAAGGTTACTGTATCACCAGCTTTGACAGAGATACTTGCTTTATTCTTTATTCGTCATCCCTCAGTTCTCCATTAACTGGAGAATGGTGCTTCTCTCCCATGCAAATTTAGCTAAATATTTATTTCCTCTATTTCTAAAATGCAGTCTTTAAAACCATAATAGGAGGCTGTGCCATTTCTCACCTTTTGATTCTTTTCGTAGAGATCTTTGAGCAGAGCGTCCAGCTCCTGTTCGTCAATGTAGCCATTTCCATCCTGATCAGGAAGAGAGGAAAGTGGTTTACACTGCTGTTCACACACATGCACACAGGCTGATGACAAAGGCTGCACCTCTGCTAGAAAGCCAGGACATTCAGTCCTGCAGTAAAAAGGCTTGTTGTCAACTATTCTCTCTAGAGCTGTTATTGTGACCGGTTTCACTTCATATCATGGCAGAGAGGCAGCAAATAACACAGTTTCCTAAAAGGAGAAACAAGTTCTGTTTAATTTGATTCATGCATTGGTGGTTGGTTGACATGTTTTTAGTTGATCGGTCATCTACAGATGGGAGCCCTCTTGTGAAGTATAAAGTAGGGCAAGGGGAACCAGTTTTGTTTTTACAAACAATAGTAAAAGTTTTGACGCAGCCAGCAGATTAATTATACATGAGAGCATGATGTCACACCAAGCGATGTGGAAGTAACTATGGCTTTGGAGAAGCTACCCTTGGGACACAACGTGCTGTCAAACTTCATCTGAGATGTTCTGTGCGTTTTAATTCAGGTGCATTCGAATCCACTTTTGCTGCAGTTGACCTGACATGCTGTTCTTTGATACTGGAATTGCTGCAGGTGCTTGTGATCCAGCTGGGGGGGTGGAACCGGCGCTGGTGTGTGCCGCATTCATATGCTCCCTGATTACACCATGTGCCCAAGTCTCCTGGCTCATTTATAATTGAATGTTTGGTGCTGGGTGACCTCACAGTCTCTAGAAAGTCACGCAAAATGTTGTCCCAACTGCAGCAGGAGGAGTTTTTTCCTCCATCAGAATAGATTTTAGAGAATTTCTTTTTTCTCTTCTTTTCTAAGTAGTTAACAATAGTATTGATGGGTCCTACCAGCCCTTACTGAATGTGTACATCTGAGTAAAAGACTGGCCAAGCTTACTGTGCTTCTTGCAGTTTCAGTACAGTACCACCGTTTACTTTGTGCGCTACAACTAATAAATCATCTGTCTACCAGCTCTGTAATGGCATAGAACTGGCAACCAAGTCAACATGCTTAGTGTATGTGCAAGACATCAAGTTCAGGAGGCTTTTCAAATTGCAGTGTTTCCTCTGGCCAGTTTCACTTAATGGTTCCAAACGTTCCCAGCTGCATATTCTTCTCTGCAACTCTCAGGCTACAAGTAACAGATCTTTATCTCAATTCTATGTAGCAATTTATGACTTTACTTCATCAGTTACAGTATGTAAACTCATTTAAAAACATACTGTATATAAACTCCAGTCCTAATGAAAAACTAAAAATAAGAAACAGGGATTTGCTGTTATGTGAATTGCTAATCCTTTGAAGAGTATTGGTTCTCACTGAATGCAGTTGCCATTAAATGTTGCTGATAGTTCAAGTGGATGTATGTTGCTGACAAGCTATTACAGCTGTTGTCTCTCGTGATCAGGGACCACACACCTTGAGGACTGAGGAACTTTGGAAAAGACCTCGCAGAGGGAGCCAGGTGCTACAGGACATGCAAATGCACTTCGTACACCTGGTAAGCAAAGGACACAATGCTTTGCATAGCTGACAGTCTGCACTGTGAGAGTGACTATGTGCTTTTCTCTTACCCCTCATGTGATGAATAATACATTCGTTTTCATGTGCTTGAGCCTAGTTCAAGCAGTCTGCTCTTCTAGTACATTAATAATACATAGGACACAAATCGATGTTAAAGAAAAAGACTTCACCTCCAAACCTTTGCACCTTCTATTTAGACACATGAAACCCCAGCTCTCTTGTGCTCAGAGATGTGCAATGATGGAAAGAGTCCATACCACAGATGTGCTGGAAGAACCTTTACGAGACAATTGCTCATAGCTGGGTAATTATCAATTCATTAGATACATCATGATGAGATGGGATAAAACAGTCATCTCATTATTATGAGATGATAATGATAATGAGGCTATACAGTAAGTAGTTCAGGTGGGTATTAGCATCAGCATGCGTAGGCTGCAAAGGAACAGGTTTATTCCATGCTGAAAAGAGAAGAAAAGAAAACAACGTTTCGGTGGTGGAGCCTTCTTCAGTTCTTCTTTGAAACCCATCTTTGACTTCTGTGAGTTTTCTTTGACACCTGAAGAAGGCTCCACAGCCGAAACATTGTTTATTTTCTTCTCTTTTCAGCATGGAAGTAACCTTTAGTTGTTCCTATACAGTAAATATTTATCATTTTGGAAATACGGCATGCCATCTTTTATGGAAAAAAGGGTATATATGTATGCAACCAACAACATTAATCTGCATTCTTTATGAACATCACACTCTCTTGTTTATAATTGTCTTACAGTCTGGATGAGCTATATTATAAGAGTTTTGTAATATGAATGTCAGCAGGTCAGACTTACCTTGTCATAGTAAGTGAATATTTGGTTGAACTGCTCTGCGTTTAACTTGACTCCCTGTTTTAAGAAGAAAACAGACTGAAGTTATGGAGAGTAGAGACTAAGGCATGTACAGTAGTTTGTGATGGGAACTCCCCGTCTGCCTGCAGACTGATTTCTCTTCCTAATATTCCTTCATCATAATCCTATCACTACGTGCTGTGAAAGGTGAAGAATAGCATTTTGTCAAGGCATTTGTATATTGGGCAATTAGAATTGCATCTGCTTGTTTCATTGAAATATACAGTATGCTACACTTCCAGAGAATAAATAATGGCACAAAGATAGCAGATGCTGATGACACAGGGGCTGTTTGCATGTTTCTAATGACAGAGAATTCTGTCCCTGTTGCTGTTGTCATGGTGCTTTAATCAGCAGTTTGTCATCGATCTGCGTGGAGTCTAATTCAAACAGTTATGACATGGAAGATTTTTTTTTGTTTTGGGAGCAATATATTGTTTGGTTATGTTTTGTCATTTATGCCAGTTCACTTAAGTGAAAACATGGCGTGACAAAAAACAATTAAAAGGTTTTTTTTTTTGCCTTGGAAGTTTTATACTGAAATGTATTACATAAACTGTTGCATTATATTTCAGTAGATTTGTATGTTTATATCGGGAGTAATATTTCAGAAATTAAATGTGGTTACAGCTGTACTAGCTATAATTGAATAAGGGGGATTAACTTTTTGTCTACTTTGAACACAATGTTACCAATAATAAGGAGTCTTTTAAAACACAGGTAAGAGAAATTTATGTTGTGTTGACCTGGAACTTCAGTAAGAAGTTTTCTTGCACTGGTAGTAGCCTGAAATGACAAAACAAAAGATTTTCAAACAATATTTCATTTTTGAACAATATTCATACTATTTTCAACACTAATTTTTAAAATAATGCACAACATCCCTCAGATCTTTGACTTCAGGATTATTGAAACAAATGAAAACATTGAATGTAGTATCTTGTATTCCAGAGATTCAATATCATATTATGAGAAAACAGCCCACCAGTTCTTTTCATCTAAATTAATAATCCAGCATTTTATTCCGAAGGCAAGTGACGAGTCTGATGTCATTCTCGTACCCTAGACCGGCACCCACCTGGCCATTTCGGACAGTCCAAGCTTCCCATCTCCATTCAGGTCAAACATTTTAAGCTGCGGATAAGGAAAAGAGGGTTGGGAGTTTCCGAATTACTTATGTGAATAGACAGATCGAAGAATTATATAGAAGTGACTGCAGAGGCTGAAAACTGACCAGAATTGCTGCAGGGACTGGAATGTTACAATTGCAGTGGACAGTAATGGACAGACTTTAATTTGCACAAAAGATACGTTTCTTAATAAAGGCACTTCAGATTGTGCCTTTAGGAGGGAATCGTGACTGATCAATTTCAGTTAACATGTCAGAAGGCTGCTTTCTCTCAGATTGTGAAACTTTAAAGAATAGATTTTCACACTTTTGATCACATTTACAGGTGTTGACTTTTTGATACCTACCAAACTGCAATAATGCTTAGCCTATCTAACCCCTATGAGCAAGCAACCGAACCCTCGGACTCACATCAACTGGCAGGTCAGCGCCTACTGGGAAGGAATTCAATCTTGCAGCTACTTACTATTGTCTGTGTGTACTCTTGCAGCTTCTGATCATTGTAGTGTCTATTGGCCTTCTTTAACAGGTCTGAGAGAAAACCCTGTAAAAAGACATAAGGCTGTTGACTGAGCTCATACAGTGTGCTGATTCCTGGAGACCTGCAGTGCCTCTGTGCAGCACCACCTGGAAATGTGTGTTCGGTACAGAAGAGCCCAAAGGGAGTTTTTGGATGGTTTGCTTTGGCAACACTTTTCAAAGCAGGGATCTTAAACCTTAGGTCCTACAAGAACTGGTGCCTTCTGTATTTTGCTCCTACCCGAGTAGTTCCTAAATTAAGAAACAAAATTCATCGTCATGGCAATGCTGATTATCAAGAAGAAGAATGTCTTCTTGTAGAGAGTGCCCAGTTACGGTCCTGTAGGGCCATTATGTCTGCAGGCTTTCATTGCAAGACCACTCTACAGGAACTAAATCAGCTCGTTATGGTCTGAACTTGGAAAAATTCAACAGCCTTCAGGTGCAGATCTTCAGGTGCTGCTGTTTTAAAGAGACCTGGAAAACATGCTGATAGACTGGCCCTCTGGGACAAGGACTGGCCAGATTAATGGTTTTGGAATATTATTATTGATGGAATGGGCAGCGATATGAAAAGTCCGTATTACAAACACTACTATAGACACATTTTATTGGTGCAATTGTATTATCTGCCTGGTCCAATCTAATCTGCTTTAGCAAATCTAAACCACTCCATTTAATACTTCTTATCTATTGAGATCATTTTCCTAAATTTGAATGTTTCCGACAAGCTTTTTGCTGCTGCTGGGGGGATTTGTATATATTGTTGTTCAGGTAACAAGAATTATTTGCATGTATTTTCATCTCCCTTTGTCCCCCAGAAAATGCACAAGTCTGTCTGCCCATCTGAAAATGCAACCTAAAAAAATGTGTCCTTTAATGTGACCTACTCTTCCAAGCCCCCAGTTCCCTACTGCAAATTAAACATGAACTGGCTTGTCTCCCTCAATATTACAAATCGTGCAGTCCTGGCAATGGCTTGTGCCAGTTATTAGCACACCGTGTCTATCAGACTGCATGTGGCTTCATCTGCCTCGGTCTCAGAAACAGAGCTTTGCTCTCTCAACCCCTGGGTGCTGTTGCTGTAGGTTCAGGTTTTTCTGCAAACCATTGATGCATGGCTCGTTGCACCGCCAGTCAGGATGAGAAACAGGTGTGCGCTCCAAAAAAACGTCCAGTGGTGTGGTTTAATACGATGTTTAAAGAGGCATACAAAAAAAGCCCGAGCATGTAGTCATTGTGGAAATGTGTTCCGAGATTTAGGGTCTCTGACAATCATCATTGAAGGAAAAGAGCCTGGGTGTAGGCTGGGAGATTGAGCAGTCAGAGACTGGTGAACATGCAGAACATGTTACCTACAGTAGTCGTGCGAAAGCAGAGGACTCACCATGTTTCAGCAGGTAGTAAGACAGTGAGGAATCCATTAACTCCTCGGAATGCTTTCTTCTTTGTGTTGCTCATATGCCATAGATAAAGCAAGATGCACTGTGCTAAAGCTGTCATGCACGTAAGGCATGGCATGCTTCATGTTATCCAGTCAGCTCAGTGGCACTAAGACCCCTTAGTCCTTACCTTGAGCTCGTTGGCCTCAATGTATCCACTGCGGTCTGTGTCATACCTCCGCCATGCCTGCAAAGGAGAACTCACAGCAATCAGAGAGATGCTTTCCAGCAACTGTCTTGTGTAGGAGAGATGCACTTTTGGTATCTGTTTAGACTGGCCAAAGGCCATTCATAATTTATTTCTTATTTCTTAAAATTGATCATCTTACTTTACACCCTGTCCTTGGAGAGGGTTGCCATGATCAGAGATGATTTAGAGGCTTGTCCCTTCTTTATTTGTGCACCATTAGAGACTTCCACACAGACAGCTGAACCTATGATCTAGTTATCACTGAAAGCCTGGGCATTTCACTTCGTATCAAAGAAGGTGCACAGTAGGACAATTAGTGTTAACCTTCTTTGTTCATCACAGCAGTTTATTCCTGCAGAGGGATATTGAAAGTGGCTTTGCGTAATGAAATCCTGCTTTTTGGGGATGTCAGTCAGGCATATGACATTAAATAATGGTACATACGCCCACAGATAAATGGGATAGTGCAAAGAGATTTAAAAAGACAGGCTTAAGCCTTTGGTGTACATTGCATTTTCATATGTTGACAACGGCTCCGGTTTGGCATCATTTTAAACACAATTGATCCAAACACTTTTTGCGGGTAATATACTGTACAAGCACAGGTAAACTATGAAGCCCAAAAGCCTTGAAAATGTGAGACATACTGTATTTAAAATTGAAATTGAAAAGGGCTCTGTGACTCTTAAGTGGATTTATCTTTCCACAATAAAGCACACTCTCTTTCATTTTTTTATGCCAGTTAACATTAGACTAATGCCCATCCAACTGCACTTAATGCACACTGTAGGCCTAAGCTCATAGTTAAAGAGTTGATTAAACCAGATAAATCTATAACAGCCATATAACAGCCATACTGAGATGAGCCATGTTCCGACACTTCAGAAACGATTACTGTTGAAGGACTGGACACTGAACTGCACTAGAACAAAAAATGAGTGAGTGTTTGAACTACCAGTGTGGTCCAGGTCTGCTGCCTTCATGCCACAAAAGAGGTACACAGAGATAAGAAGGGCTCTTGTGATTGAGAGTTTATCTCTTGAGCAGTCCGTCTGTCTCCAAGAGTCAATGAAACCCTTGTTTGATGAGAAAATAAACTATACAAGCCAAGAATTGCATATTGGGTATTTGAGGGAAGCCAAGAAGGTAAATGTATTTTTCATTTTTTATTTAGTATAATCTCCCAGTGATGGGCTATATACAGTACACATGGATGGGTTTGGATGTTATACAAGAATATTAATTCAGGAACCCATTTTTCTGCTGTGTGTCACATCACACCCCCGCCTCTCGGATACCATACATTTTTATTGCTTGACAGGAACGAATGTGGCATGCATGTTCACTCACCGCCATGAACTCGGTGCTGGAGCCCACAAACTCTCTGAAGCACAGCAGGAAGTTCTCTTCTGTGGGGAGGATCTGAGCCAGCTGGGGGAGGGGAGGTGAAAGAGGAAACGCTGAGCTGTCGTACGGCTGTCGCCCGCGGCGCAAGGAAACTGGCCTTTTCGCGAAGCCAGGACCTGTCCCCTCCCATCACGCAGGCGCGAGTGGCGGTGATGGACCCGTCCATCTTTCAAGCCCGCGAGAGCAACCACTTTGCAGCGCCGTCGTCCTCGGTGTGACGACAGACTGCGAGATGCTTCTCGCCCAACGCTGGCATTTGCCAGTGATGAAAGCTACATTTTAGTTTTGCCGTCTGTTCCCTCGTCAGGGCTTGCAAAGATTACAGAAGGATGGCTAAGAAAAACGGAAGACATCCGTCTGTCCCCTGTTGAGATTGCGCGTTCCCGTGGAGCCCTGAGACTCTGGCTGGCTGGGGGTTTACTGCCGTCTCTCCAGCGTTCCCAGTTAGCTCCCCGTACTGCGGCTGGATTAAACAGGCCCAGCCTGAGCAAGGTGAGGCACGCAGAAGCGTGCCGCTCATGTATCCTGTCATGGCTGTCCGTGCTGCCGTGAAGAGATGTCACTGGCATGTTGATTTTCAGGGACGGTCTCTCTTTTTTTTGCCTTATTCCCCTCACCCACCTTATTTCATCTCTATCCCATCCACCAGACCAGTGCTCTCTGGTTTTACAGGATCAGTCTGTCCGGCAGTCAAAGGAAAAAAAGCCATTTTTGGAGTTGGGAACCTGTCACAGGGTTTGGATTTTAAAGAAAAGAGACAGACTGGCTGAGTGTGGGGAGCCAGTTAATTTAATAACCTTTCATTTTGCACCTGGTGCGTCACTTTATGGAATCCTGCCTGATGTTATTGCTCTGTGGAAGTTCCAATGGGCTGCTTCTGGCCCTGAATGGAAATTTGCATCAAACAAACAGGTGCTGCTTGGAAACTGGAGGTTTTCTTTTTTGTGAAAGCCCACATCTGAGGCTTTTCCCTTGACCTGGCAGAGCTGCTGCTGCTGCTGCTTTTGTACAAACATGTTCTATTTTTAAGAAGTGTTCTTCATTCCTCCATTCAACCTTTAAGTCTGAAAAGCCCGGGCAAAACCCGTTAAAATGAAAAAGGACAAGCGATCGAGCTGCTTGAAAGTTAATTTACAAGAGACGTTACTGCTGCTGTGTAGGTGGCGACGACAAACTGGGAGTGAAAGATGCGTTTGAGGAGAAACTTCCTGAGTGTCCAACACCTGCAGGCTTGAGCAGATCCATGATGCACTGCCATGTCTGACTAAGCTGTTTGTCAATTTAATTACATGACAAATAAATATTACACTATTAATAGAGAGCGTTGACTCGCAGCTTAAGCAAGCGCTTTGTTTTATGGGAAAAATGCAGGTTCAAGACCAGACTAAACAGGCACAGTATTTTCTAGGTAAATCAAACCACATTCAACGGCATTAAACGTGTTTTGCATTGAAGAAATCATTAAAGATTAAGAGGCTGCTGCATGGAATGGGTACAATATCGTATATACTAAATGTAATAATCCCTAGGGATAAATGTTTGTGAAGAAGGAAACTTGTAAAAGATTATTGTGCAGGGTTTCCCTTAATCCATGTGAGCCTTGGAAACATATTTAAGCTCCACAAGGCATTTTTGATGATGTCTTGATGAGGAGATTGCTTTAGGAAGTATGAGACATTTAAAACGTTCTAAAGGATGCAGCATCTCTGTGCAATGTCTCTTTTATACTCGTTGGAGTAATTAAGATGTATTTCTTGCCAGTCAATGATACTTTTTCCCCAATTTGACATTATTATTAAGGTATAGGTAGCTTGGCACAAAGAGATTTAGTTTTCTTCCAGCTGTTCAAAATTCCTATTCTTCTTTGGATTTTCACCTTTCACCTTGATCCTAGCTCCTTAAATCTTACCTCTGACATCTCAATTTTTCCATCTGCGTTCTTGTCAAATTTTGCCATGAATTCTTTCATCTTTTCCGAGAAACTGGCATTTGGAGAATCCTGTCAAGCGATGGAAAATTGAATCATTAATGTTTAACAGGCACAGCTTTTAGGAGAGCAATTTACAAGGAAGGAAAAACTAGATGCAGCTTCATAGTTTTCATTTCGTGTTATTAACCCAGGGGTTGATGATAAAATCATAAAGATGTTACACTACTGCCCACTTTATAGGGTTTTATACATAGAGCTATTATAGACGGATTCACAAGTGAATGATGGGGATGTAGTTTAAAATATGGAGCTATAGGGGAAATGCAAGTTAAAGATCTTTCTAAAAATTCTTGCTTAGGTGATTGATAGGACAAACCTACCATTCCTACCATTGTCATAGTGGACTGGAATTACAGCAGATTTGCCACTAGTGACCACTAAAGGACCTATACATTTTATAAATAGTCACACTGGATGTTAACTGTTAATTGTTGGTTTATTGGTGAAGGGTGATGGCACCCCTGCTGCTCTTTGACACGGAGGAAAAAGCTTGCTACTTCAGTATTTGTTTCCCTGGCTAGTTTCTGATCCCTCGGAGGGCACCCTTTTTCAAAATGCTTCTTCTTCATCTTCATTCAGTGGAGACTCACCATTCCGGCTCCTCTTCTTGCATTTTCCAGTTCTTTGAAAAAATTCTCCAGCTCTTTTCCCTCGATGTACCCATTGCCTGAAGGAAAGATCATGAAACAAAGGATGATTAGGTGTGAAGGAACCAGGGTGTCATTTTCTCTTTATATTTTATTGGAGACAAATGAAACCACCCAGCAAAATGCAAGACGGGGTATATCTGGTTATCAAAGCTAGTATCCTGGCTTCTCTCAGGAAACGGCAGGATGAGATGCTCAAATCAATTTGTTATGAACAATCAGACTACCTTAATGGGTTTAAATTTTCAGAATTTGTAAATATTTCACTATACAGTCATATTGTCATCTCTGAGAGGATAGTGAGGTTATCAGTCTAAGACAAGCGAACATGTTACACATTTTGCTGAAAGGTTTCAGCACGTGTGCTGGCAGATCACTGCATGAATGTACATGCAGAGTTTTCTGTTTAAATCATTCCACAGACGTGGTGTGGAACAGACATGGTGCAGAGCCTGACAACAGCAATGGGAAACTGCTGCAGGCATACTGACTGACCAGCCTGCCACACTCTTCCAGTGCCTCCAGCCAGCTACATCACCACACTCTACAATTTCCAGCAGCAGGCGGCTCTCCTTGGTCAGATACATCTGGCAAATCAGAACACTGCTTGTGTTGAAAACCGAGTTCATTTTAGATATTGAGAGTGTATTGGAAGAAGAAACATTGTAATGTTCACTTCATTAAAAGGGGCTTATTTAAAGGTACTCTATGCAACGTACACAATTTCAAACAAACATCAGTAACACTGCATCCACTCAAAACACTTTCAGCAGACATAGACACACTGAACGCGCAAAACAGATTTGTCTTCTGTCACAAGTTCAAGTTTATTTGTCATTCTAGCCATAGACAAGCATATAGAGGAGCGAGATATCGTTCTCCGGGTCCACAGTGCCTACACAAGGGCAGTATTCTGAGCTCCCTGTATAACTGGGTCTCCAGATTCACCTGGGTGACTGCCAGCTGCTGCTCACAAGCAGGTGCAAGTGGCTCACAGCTTTATGAGCGCTGTGGCTACCATCCACCGCTGCTGTGGGTTAACCCCCAGCGTACCAGCTGCCTCCTCTGCAGCAGCTCAGCAGGTCACTACAGCACCTGATCTCCATCTGCACGCATTTATCTGCTGTACTTTTCCCTCATCGTTACTAAGTTCCTGAGAAAGAAAGAGGTTCAGTAGGGATAGGTCAGCCTTATAAGCGAAGAGAAGGTTAGAGATAAGATCACTTTATTGGTCGTATACAATTTCTTGTATCAGGAATTTGTCTTTACGCATACCCCAGCTTGCTCTCCATGAGACACAAACAACCATTTATACAGCGCTTGTGGAGCAGTTGGGGTTAAGGGCCTCGCTCAGTGGCCCAACGGAGTAGGATTCCTCTGCCGGCCGTGGGATACGAACCGGCAACCTCCCAGCCACAGGGGCAGATCCTGAGCCACAGAGCCACCGCACTGCCTAACATTGAATATGTAAGATCCCTTTTTTTTTTTTGAATTTGCTTTAAAATCTGCATAATTTTGCGGAGTGGTGGGAATGTGGAGATCCATCCTCACGTTTACTGTGCAATAGGAAAATTAAATAGTAAGCCAGCGCAGCCTTTTAGTGACGATGGAGAACAGCACCCTTGTTCCGTTCTTTGAGGTAACTATTCTCATATCTACTGATTGGCACCCTGCCATTCTTAACTTCTTAATTAAAACTCGGGAAGGCAGTGGCCCTCAGTGCACTCTGCGGCGGCTCACACCACCAGGAGGGCTGACTCTCAGCTCTGTCTTTCACTAATTGGAGCTGGTTTGCTGCCTGGCGCCTTTGAAGTTCATTTATTTGAAGAGACAAAAGGGAAATCTCTTGTTGACAGCCAGATCCTACTTTTAGAAAAAAAAAGGCACGTTCATTAATATTCTCAAAATTTCTTCCCGTCGTAGAAGTGGCTTTCAGATCTGCCGGTGAGTGTGTTGAAATAAATAAAGGCCTATTCCGATGTAGCCGCAGGAATGAGATTACCAGTTCTCTTTTCCTGTTGTTAACTGGTTGCAGAACTCTCTCATAGCAAAGGATGGGTTTTGCAATGGGGACAGTGCTTTCATTCTGGACAGCGAGTCAGAAATTAATGACATAGATTACATTGCTCTCTGCATTTTGAGATTTGCGCTTGTCAGAACTATGAGCAAGCCTTGTTGGCTTGTTATTATGTCTGCTCCTTTTGTTTCGTGTTTAGCATCACAAACACCACTCCCACTGTTCCTGCACATAAGTTTCTGAATCAATTATTTTCTTTCCTACAGTAACTCAGCTGCTTCTGTAGCTGTTTCCCATGCTGCTCTAGTGCCTGTACTCTCAGCCAAAGGCTGATTCTCGGAGGAAATTGGCTCCCCCTGTTTGGAAATGCACAACTGGCAGTCCTCAAGCATCGGACCAGGAATTTTGCCTTAACCCTCAGTCACTAATCAGTCATTTCTAAAAATAAGCAGTATGATTTTGCATCAGTGTGCATGACCTTTCATTTTTCCACTAGAAGTATTGGTAGATGCCACTTCAATTCCACGTTTAATTTACTGCTGCGTGCGATAGCTGGCTTTACAATAATCTGCTTGGGGGATAATATGATAGCACAGTGACCTAGGGAATAATCATGATTTACTAAAGCATGGGGAAGTTGAAAGACTTTTTAAGTCCCAAAGGATAATGTTGACTTGTTACAGCTTGCATTTAAGATTTAGCTTGAAGGCTGTGGACAATGGATTGGATGTTGTAGGTTTTCCTGGTGATTTGAAAGATGCTACATATTTTCTAAATTCTTATTTTTTCAGCTTTTTCCAGCCGGAAGCACATGGCTGCCACACCCTTAGAGTTGCTATTTAGTCCGTATGAGTCTTCCTCGAAAACACCTTTTTCGTTTGGAAAGAACAAGAGCCGGCCTATCATTCGGTGAAACAGCAAAGAAACAACTTAAAAATGCACACAGACATGGCAGGGCAGTGTTTCTCAATGGGTTATATTTCTCCAAGACTTCACACATTGTTTGCATCTTTTAGAATAATTTGTTATATGTGGAGAACAGCCTCTAATTGGTGTCCTTTGAATTCAGTGAGGCATGTTTGTAGTGCTCAGAGGCATTTAGGTTGTGTCTCTTTAAACTTTGTAATGCTTGACTAAGATTTTCCACACACTTTGAAACACCTAATCACATTCTCCTTTTATTTCTTTAAGGGTGCCCTAAGTCTCTTGTCAGCTTGTGTTGAATTGGCAAACACAGCACTCAAGTGTCTAACTTAATGTCCTTGTCTTTGGGATAAATTCGCCTTTGGACCACAGTGACATTTTGAAGCTTTGCACTGGGCAGTTATTCAGAAAGGGGGGTTTGGAATGAATCAGGAAACTGTTTTTTTTTTAAAAGACAGAAAATTATACATCTGATCAGACAAGCCCAGTTAGTTAGTTCAAATATTGCAATAAAGATTTGATTGTGCACAGAGTACACATTATGGATATGGTGGGTTAAAAACGCATTTAAGCTATTTTGAACTCTTTTGTACAGATCATACCTATGTGCTGAACTTTTCAGCATCTGATTTGGAGTACTCTTATGCAATAAAATCGAATGTAGTAGATAATATTTAAGAACTGTTTAATACATTAATACACTTCCATCGTATGGTGTAGTTATAGTACCTACTGTACAATATTAGATGAAGAAAGAAAAGCTAAAATGCAAGCATTGCCAGATGTCTTGAATAATATGTCTGGTTATCACCAATTTGATCAAAATAAGTACTCAGTGTATTTTCCTTGGTTTCAGGTGGCTGGATGTTTTTAATGCCAACACCCATTTCTTCCGAGATCCTGTAGACAAGTGAGTTTGTAGAGGCAGGATGAGAGGACTGGAGAAATTGCTTGACCTTGGCTCTGATTAGTTTTCCTAAACACACAGGCAATTTTTTCCTGTCCAAGTTTGTTAGTCAAATTCCCATCTGTCTCCCATCCTAAACAATCCACTTTGATTTAAGCAAATTATTAGACAAAAGAGGCGCAAATCTTTCTCTGAAGGTGTGGCCTGCTGACAACACATGCTGGTGATTTTCCACATCCAGTAGAAGCAGCAGATCGTGTGTGTGTGAGAGAGATCAGGGATGCCTCCTTCACCTCTGAGTTTAATCAGGTCAGTATTCCTACTCGCCCAACTTCTTTCTAAATGTTCTGAATTGCAAATTTTGATTGCAACAGAATCTCTTAATATAACAGTTCAGTTTCCAAAACGTTGTCTTAAGGCCTTCTTCATGATTTTCAAAGCTGGGAACTGGTATTTCCTAGTGAGCTGCTGGAACCCTGTTGTAAGTCAGCATGCCTCCTACCCATAATGCCGAACTGCTCCAGACGTCCTCTGGCTCCAGGGAAACCTTGCACGTGCAATGGCTGTTTGACAGTAGCGTTACCACCTTAAGGCTCGATCTCATCAGATCTCAGACGCAAAGCAAGACCAGTCAGCTGGCAGTAGTGGGATGGGAGACCTCTGTGTCCAGCCATGTTACTGCTGTAAGTGGTGTTGGCAGACCAGTAGGTGGCACACTTCTCTCTGAACCAGATTTTCCAAACTGTCCCTGGAGCAGCCAAGCCTAGTTGGGTCTCATCAGTTAGTCTGAGAGGGGTTTTAGCTCTGGGGTCCTGGCTAAATTCTACACTGGGCTTGAACAAGCCAACCTCCCTAAAGCTTCCCTATAACTCAATTGGTAAAGCAGTTTCTCACATCCTCCTTATCTGCCACAAAGCAGTCCTGCTTGTGCCCCAGTGCTGCCAGTGTTGCCCAGGTGGGGCTGTACTACAGTGGTGGACATGAATGCCCTTCTACTTGGGAAGCTCTCTGGCGTCCTTTGGGATGACAAGTGCTAGACAAATGCAAGACATTCATTATTATTATATTGAGAAATTGTCATCTTTTTTCATTAAATACCACTGTTGATGCTGTCTATAGTATTCACTCTTCATCATTTCTTCTGTTGCAATCCATTTTCTCCAGAGCACTGT